TTTATAATTTGTTTTATTTAAAAAATGTTAGAAAACAAGCCTGTAATTGACATACCTAATTGCTATGTAATAAAAAATGGATTAAAAATATATCATAAGAGTATACAGGCATTAATTCAAATTTTTAGTATGCGAACAAATACGAGAGGCGCTTTATTTTCATTCATTTCTTAACAGACAGAAGAAGTTGTACAGAGGGGGATGTTTTGTGATGTGCATCGGAAATTGTTTTGCGATTACCGTATATATCTACTAAGGGTCGGCATTTCTGGTCTTGGTTGCCGGTTTTCATGTGTACGAAGGGTACGGTCAACACGCTTAGTAAAATAAGATGTACTGAATAAAGACAGAAGGCGAGTATTTTCCCAAGCGCATGGAATCTAGCGTCAGATTAAGTAGTTATGTAATAAATACTTCGTATTTTTGTTCACTCCGACTTACTGGATTGCCATAACGACTCACTCCTATACATGCAAACGCCGACCTAAAGGTTCGCTTGCCAGCGGGGTATACAGGGTGTCATTGAAATGGTGTAAAAAAATCGGGGAGTGATAGTACTCCTAAAAAAAGTAAACAAAAATTCCTATAAGTATAGGGCGGGAAATGCATATTAAGGGAGTTAGGGGCACTGAAAGGGTGAATTTAAAAAAACGGTTGTTTTAAAATTGTAGGCTTAAAGAACGAGATAAAATTTCGAAAAAAAATCCTCTGCCATAAATTTTGACCCTAAATCAAATAGTGATACTGAAAAATTATTTGGAAAAGCGGAAAGGGTAGTTTTTGCGAGGGTAGGGGGTTGTTTTGTAAATAACTTTTTTGAGGTTATTTTTTTTTTCAACGTGGGTTCATTTTTTGAAAACTCATACTTTTTCTTACAAAAAAGGTACTCTTGTTGCACATCGCCCAGAGCGATGGTTTTCGAGAAAATTGAAGGCAAAGGGTTTGCTCTGACGGGTTGCTAACTGGTTAATCAACATAAACTTATGAAAGTTATGGCGGTTCAAAAGTAACCAAGTAGTTATTAAATAATTAATTGGAAAATCAAAATTTCATGATTTTTAAAAGATCTTATTGCTTTAAAAACGAAATAATCTTTTTTGGTTTTAAAAAAATTTGGTTTTCTCAATGCCGATTAATACTGAAGAGCAACTACGGCAACGCATTATTGACTGTTCAATCAAATTTGGACAGCAACAAGGATATTCCACAGGGTACGCAGATCGTGGATAAGATCATATCTACATTGAAATGAATGGTGGTCACTTTGAACATTTATTATGAATGAATTAAGGAATGCATTATTTTAATAAGGAATTTTGGTAATTGGATTATTTCGTTTTTTAAAGCAATAAGATGTTTTAAAAATCATGAAATTTTGATTACTTTTGAACCGCCATAACTCTCATAAGTTTATGTTGATTAACCAGTTAGCAACCCATCAGTGTAAACTCTTTGTCTTCAATTTTCTCGAAAACCATCGCTCTGGGCGATGTGGAACAAGAGTATCTTTTTTGTAGGAAAAAGTATGTAGTTTTCAAAAAATAAATCCACGTTGCAAAAAAATAACCTCAAAAAAGTTATTCACGAAACAACCCCCTACCCTTGCAAAAACTACCCTTTCCGTTTTTCCAAATAATTTTTCAGTATCACCATTTGATTTAGGGTCAAAATTTATGGCAGAGGATTTTTTTTCGAAATTTTATCTTGTTCTTTACCTACAATTTTAAAACAACCGTTTTTTAAATTCACCTTTTCAGTGCCTCTAACTCCCTTAATATGCATTTTCAACCCTATACTTATAGGAACTTTTTTTACTATTTTTAGGAGTACTATCACCCCCCAATTTTTTACACCATTTCAATGACACCCAGTATACTTAATGCAAAATCGTTTTGTATTAAGTATATAAATCTATCTAATCACATTATAAGATATTTACACTGGACAAAACATTCGTTTCCTAGGAAACCTTTCAATAAACCTCTGTATATAAATTACAATCGCCCTAATCCCTACTTATCGCCGGTAATAAATTACCTCCGAGACCTGGCAGATTTCAGCCCTCAACAAGCAAAACAACCTTTGATATATATTTTCCGCCGGCCGGCACCACCACTTTTTGCTTCTGCGAGTCGGGAATTATGCCCTCAGGGTTCGATACACTCTGCAAATGTTTAAACAAAAACCCTTTCGTCCGTCGGTCTTTTACCAAGCTTAATTTTGTAAAATAATCGCCGTGCCTTTCTCTTCTCTGGTTAAAATATTAATTTTGTGGATATTAATTCCAATTAAGGAAAGAGCTTTTACTGTATAGACTCTGTATTAACTAAAAATTTTACAAATTATAACTAGTGATGGGATAACTCGATTATTGAAATAACCGACATCGCTCGATTATGAACGAGTGATGCGAGTGACTAGTTAAGAGCGACGGACGCACGAGATCCTAGAATGAAATATATTGAAATCCGATTTTAATGTGACATACTCGATTAAAAGCCGAGCGAATATTCTACCTACATTTCAGGTAGCAAATTTATACGCCGTTATCCGTTGTGTATCTGAGTGACAAAATTTTACGACCTACATTGACAATGCCTTCAAATAAACTAAATCAAGCAAGCGATCAAGAAAATCACTCGTCGTTTGCTACTTGCCATTCATCACCGAAAGAATATGTGCTCTGCGCACGTAACTTACTACTTGGCGTTACGACTAAAACAAGCGACAAGCGATAGGCGAAAAACCGTATTTTTAAATACGATATTTCGCTCGATTCAGTAATCGAGTTCTCGATTATTGAAATCGCTTGAAACTCGAGTGAAATCCCATCACTAATTATAGTTTGATTGAATATATATAATTAGTGATGGGAAAACCGATTAATTTCAATAATCGGTTTTCCCATCACTAATTATAACCGTCTACTTTAATTGTAGAAACTATGGCTCATCTTATACAACTTAAATGGTAGAACACGATTGGTTACAACAATGTAATTTATAGTCTGCCCCACGATGAAATCCTTGATAGTGATAGATGTGACAATTGTATAGATGTGTCGGTCATTTCAAAGTAGTTTATTTTATTTTACAAAGAAATAAGTTGGTACAATTGGAACGCATAGCAGGAAATTAATTACAGGGTGTTTGGCAATAGTGCGTCGGGCATCTGTAGCTCCTAGAATGATAAACTTGAGATTTTTAAAAATAAAATAAAAAATACACCTTAGTAATTTTAAAATATTTATGTATCTTAACTTTCCCTATAACTTTTACATTTAACATTTTTTTTTGTAAACCTCGAAACAAATGGAATAATGGACTTTACTCTATCGTTGACTCGCACCCTGTACAGGGTGGGTCAAATACGACGCTTTTAAATGGAAACACCCTTTCCTATAGGAGATAGACAAAAACTAATATCGGTGTCTGGGGCTCAATTTTTGTCAAAAACATGATGGTAAAAACCGCATATCGATATCTGTTACCGTTTCCGAGTTACGGGGTATTTTTCAAAAATATGCATTTTTAACAAATCGCTGTAACTTTTTTGCTATGGAAAATTTTGTATTTTTATGAAAACATTTCCAAAGCACCTTTTTACGTAGAATTTAATGGTTTAAGTATATTTTTTTTAAAATTAATAATTTAAGAATTATCAACAGAAAATTTGATTTTTTATATGGGAGACCCAGTATAATTTTAATTTATTGAAAAGAATTTAAAATTACCTTTCCAAAAATATAACACACTTGATATTTTGCTCGATTCCTCTTCGAGATATAGAGTATATAAAAATTCGCCCGCTTTAAATAAGTAGGCTTTGAACGGCACCGGCTGTATGCAAAAAAATTCTAGCTGTGAGCATCAATTAAAATGAAAATAATATTTGCTATGAGAAATGCAGAATTTTATTACAATTTAAAATATATTTAACCAACATCAACACATTTAAACTATATTTAATAACAATAAACATAAATAGCAAACCAACACATGAGATTTTGCTACAGGTGTTCGACATATCGACCGTCTTCTGTTATGGACAGACAGGGCAGTTTTTGAACATTTCTCGCGGAATTCATTAACTCAGTGGGGGTGAAAGATACCCTCTCATAACTGCTAAGTATTTCTAATTCTTGTCTAGATTATACGGAAGAATAAGGAACCTTTATTCTCCCGCAAATATATCCATAGGATTAGATCCATGGGCACTAAGTCAGGCGGCCTCGATGGCCAACGGCTGGGATCTTGGTTAGCTATTCAATTATTCTTGAAATTGGCTGCAAAAATTTGCTGATAACTTCAGCGTTCAGAGGCGGTGCGTCGTCTTGCTGGAAAAATATGTTTTCGAGTTCCATTAAGGGCATATCATCAATAAGGGGTTCAAAGCCTACTAGTTAAAAGTGGCGAACTTTTAAAAATTCTTTATTTCGAAGAGGATTATAACAAAATATCAAGTGTGCTATATTTTTGGAAAGGTAATTTTAAATTCTTTTCAGTTAAATAAAAATATAGAGGGTGTTCCAAATAAAAAATAAATTTTTCTGTTGATAACTCTTAAATTATTAATTTTAAAAAAGTTATACTTAAACCATTAAATTCTACGTAAAAAGGTGCTTTGGAAATGTTTTCATAGAAATACAAAATGTTCCATAGTAAAAAAGTTACAGCGATTTGTTAAAAATGCATATTTTTGAAAAACACCCCGTAACTCCGAAACGGTAACAGATATTGATGTGCGGTTTTCACCATAATGTTTTTGATGAAAATTGAGGCCCAGACACCGATATTAGTTTTCGTCTATCTCCTATAGAACAGGGTGTTTCCATTTAAAAGCGTCGAATTTGACCCATCCTGTACAATATGTTTGACCGGTTTAAACAATTATTATCCTTTTCTGGCAGTTCAAATATTGGCTTTGTGAATATATATCGCAATTATCCCTTGCGGAATTAAGTGCAAGATTTTACGTTGATACCTTTGTATTTTTTTCAGGCTATTATTTACCCAGCCATACACTGTTTGATATCCAAATGGGCTCCGCCCTCGGAGAAAGGGAAATTTATCAGCGCCACTTTAGGGGGGTCGCTAGGCACGGTGATAACGTGGCCCTTGTTAGGTAAGTCATTCGTTTAGGGCTATAAAGATAAACAGAGCGTCCCAAATTGATTGGACAGCATTAGGGACTTTATTATGTGATTAAATTAAGGGTTTGAATTGGAGAAACAATTTGTCATTAGCAGTTTAGTAGTTTATTAATCTAAAGGCCGTTTTACAGTCGGCAAAAGTTTCTCCAATTTACAACTTTCTTGATGGAAGTGGTACAGTTCAAAAACAGCTTGATATTTTCTGGTAATTCTCTTGCAACTGCAAGGACTTGCAGAAAATTGGTCTCCCGCCACAGTTGGAAATCGCTTTGCGCTTATCGTTTTAAAATGGCAGTCTGTATAATTCCTTACATATAGTACATATCAAATAAACTTTTAGTCTTTAAATCTTTTTTTATTTCGGAATTCCGTCACAAGTCATTTTGAAAATGATTTAAAGTTTAAGTCAGCTTTCAAAATATGACTTAAAATCAAATGATTTAAATCATTGAAATGATTTAAGTAAAGACTTAAGTTTTCTGTGAGCTTCCAGCTCTGGTAACTAACATAACTATTATTTGGTAGTAATTAATTCATAATTAGCATAATGAGATTTTGGATATATTAAATATTAAAGTATAAAGTTAGATGTTCTTGAACTCAAGAAAGGGGGACACAATAGATCTCTAAGGTTGCAGAGATTAACTCCCCTTCCACTTATTCTAAATTCTTCTAGATGTTCTTTACCAAATGAAAAATTATATTAACATGGATGAAAATTTTAAAAATGAAAAATATGTAACTAATAAATGACTAATAAACTTATAAAAGTTTTTTTTTCTTTTTCTTAAACCTTTAGAATTATATCCATATATATATTTTTTTCCTTTCTTGGGTATGAGGTTTTTTTTTATTTAAAATTAAAAAAACCTCATACCCAAGAAAGGAAAAAAAATATATATGGATATAAACTAATAAACGGCTATTCGAAATGTTGAATTAGGAACAAAGTGGTTTTTGACATTAAAATATACATATTGCATTTATACTAAGTGATTAGTATAAAATGAATTAATTTTATTTTATAGGTAGTGTTATAGACAGTTTGGGTTGGGAATGGGCCTTCTACATTACGGGTTTGATCGTGCTAGCTTGGACTTTCGCCTGGCTATTCCTCGTGCACGATACACCCCAAAATCACCCTTGGATCACCAGCGAAGAGAAAGAACATATCGATACCTCACTGGCCGGGACAATTTCAAATAAATCAGTAAGTTCTTCTTTATAATCATCATCATCCGCATTTTCAGCTTTTCAGTTATGGTGTAGCCTCTCTCACTCCTAATTTCTTAATATATGTAGGTCTCCTGATTCCTCGTGGGTACTATTTTTTTCAAGAAGCTTTTTCAAGAACCGATACGTTTGAGACATGATGGAACCATTTGATTCTTAAGAGTTGTCTAAGGTGTCTCTGTTGCAACTTGTTTAATGCGTTCATGTGTCGGCGGTACGGCACCCAGGTTTCGCTCCCATATAACATGGTGGGGATTATTATTGCTCGGTACACTGCAAGTTTCGTTTTTGTGCTCAGGTCATGGTTGTAGAAAACCCTGTCTTTTAATTTCCAGAATGCTCTGGATGTGCTGCTAATCCTATGCTGAGTCGTTATTGACCTTTTCCGAAATCAAACTACCGGGCTTATTGAATTCCGCTACATATTCCAATAGTTCTTTTCCGATTTTTATAGCATTGGTGTGATCTTCCGGGGAGTGCACATGATTTTAGTTTTGTCGATGTTCAGCTTAAGGCCCAAAGCCTCGTATGCCCAGGTGTTCAACATTTCTTGTAATTGCTGTACAGTTTTTGCAACTAGAACGCAGTCATCAGCGTATTGAAGTTCTGTGATGAATTTTGTACGTGTTTTTGCCCTGAGTCTTTTTATGTTGAACAGACCGCCATCATATCTGTATCTAATGCCCAGTCCTCTCTCCTGCAGTTTGCTGTCCACTATAATGGAGAGCGCTGCCATGAATATGTTGAATAGGAGAGGCGCTAAGACACATCCCTGCCTAACTCCTGTATTTGTCAGGAAGGGATCGCTCAGTGATCCATGATGTGACACTCTTGACTGGTTGTTGTTATGGTAGGCTTTTACACATTGTAAGAAATTTGTTGGGTACTCCGAACTTTTTCATAATTGCCCAAAGTGCATCTCTGTTCACAGAGTCGAAGGCTTTTGTTAGGTCGATGAATGCAACATAAAGTTTAGACTGCTGTTCTTTTACTTTTTCCTGTAGTTGGCGGATGGAAAATATGGAATCGACGGTGCCGCGGTTAGTGCGAAAACCTGTTTGCGATTCTGGAAGGATTTTTTCTATATGTGGGTGCAGGCGGTTTGACATAATTTTTGCAAGAATTTTTCCGCCGATAGCCAAGAGTGAAATTCCCCGGTACTTTCCGCAGTCTGATGCACTTCCTTTGTTCTTCACTATATATTCACTATATTTGCGTTGCAAAAGTCCTGAGGTACCTCTCCGCTTTCCCATATGACATCGAAGAGAGCCTTAAGATGACCAATAAGTTCTTTACTTGCACACTTTTATTTGTTCCATTGAGCGTTGTGCGACCTGCAGTTCTCTTATAATATATGTCCGTTTTAAGTATCCAGGTTTCGGATGCATAGGTCATGACTGGCAGTACACATTGGTCGAATGTTTTCTTTTTTAGATAAAGTGGTATTCTAGATTGAATATGATTGAGTTTCTTCCATAAGTACTCCATGCTAACCTAATTCTTCTGTTGATTTCTTGTAGTAAAGATCCCGAGCTGTGTATTAGTTGTCCCAAATATGTATATTCTTCTACTTTTTCCAGTGTTGTATTATTTACTAGAATATATTTTTTGTCTACCAGTTCCTTGTACATTACTTTAGTTTTTGCTATATTCATTTTGTGACCTACTTTATTGCTGGCTGTATTCAGTTCGTTAATTTGTGCTTGTTCTTCAGGACTATTGGCAATTAGGACTATGTCATCAGCGAATCTTGGATGGATAAGATATCTTCTTTATAATAAATACCAAAAATGTATCTTCAGTATATGATAGATGCAGAGTGTGTTGGAGAGAGGAAGTAAATAACCGCGCACTTATAGATCTATTGTGCCTCCCTTTCTTGAGTTTTAACCACATCATACAGTCTCAGTGCTTCGACAAAAGCCAGTATCTGAGACGGTTCTACAGAGCTTAATTCTCCATCTCCTCCAGCTAAAAAACAATCACTCATGATTTCAACCTAAATATTATTTTACGACATCAATTTATCTTTTTCAGAGAATCCCCCCCTACAAGTCAATTGCCGCATCACTTCCGGCCTGGGCCTTGTTCATCGCCCAATTTGGCAACCTGTGGGGTTTGTTCTTCCTGATGACGGCCGGGCCCTACTTTATGTCAACCGTATTGGGTTTCAACATCGGGCACACGGGAATGCTGGCGGCGTTGCCGTATCTCGCCCGAATGCTAGCAGGATTTGTTTTTGGAGGAGTGGGTGATTTTATCTTGAGGAGGAAGCTGATGAGCAAGACGGAAATTAGGAAGTCTTTTACTATTTTATGTAAGTATGTAGAACAAAACATTACAATATCATATTTACAGTTTTTTAATTTGACATTTAAAGTGGCACTTGCCATAATTTTTTGACGTTTTGAAAGATGTTTCAACTTATGAAATAGATGATGCAGGACTAGTCGCTTCAGTCATTTGTTTATATAATGTAGGCTATAGAAAGATGCGTAGAAGTTATCTTAAGTAGGAACTATCGGAAACAAGAAAAAGCCATCTGACAGTAACCATCAATTCAAAGTTGGTAGAAGAATGCCTAGAAAAGTTGAACAAATTAAATAAAGAAAATAAAGTCCTCCTACTCTAGGTGTCAGCCCACCAAGGGATAGAAGGCAATGAAAAAACGATCTACCTAGAAAAGGAAAGAACACTCCACTAACTGGACCAGAACCGTTTTGCCTTCCAAGGAGAAACCAAAAAGCGGAACTCAAGAATCTGAAGACTCCATCTGTAACCTGGAATGGGAATCTTCTGGTCGAAATAAATTCTCACAACTTACGACCGAGAAAATCAAAGATTTATATGGTACGACTTATATCGGAGATGGAGAACTAACCTCTGTAAAACCGTCTCAGATACTGGCTTTTGTCAAAGCCCTGAGACTGTGTGATGAGTTATGACTCAAGAAAGTTGGATGTAATAGATATATGTATAAGGCCGCGGTTTACGCGGTCTTAAAAATAAACAAAAATATATTATTTTTGTCTATCTTTTCGAGTGCTATAACTTCCTAGGAAAATATTTTAGAGCATATGTTTATCCGGACTTTTTGTTTTATCCCCCCCCCCCAAAAAAAAAGCTTTATCCGTAGAATCACCCACTGATGTTTGATACACTACTTTTTAATACCCTGTTGTAACAGTCCAAATTTAGCTTTAACTAGGTTTAAAAAAATATATACCGATTTTGCTTACAAGTTGGATCAAACTTATTTATGATAAATAAATTTATTGCATTTAATTTTTATAAACAAATATTCATTACAGCTATATTTCATTATCTTTCTTACTCTCCTTTGCTTAATTTATTTTACTTTCCATGCCATATATCAATCAGTAATCAATCGGTAATGATCTAAAATATAATTAAAATTTATTATCTTATGCTAATATAATCAAATTCACCAAAATATTACCTTTAATTTCTGGACTTGTGTATGTTTCTGAATGTTGGCCTATTTGCCGTAATTTCTAGTAGTTCTGCGGTACTGCTTGTCCTTGTATTATCTTAGAAGATTTATTAACAAGTGTGGATTGTCTCTAAAATATTATTTGATCCTATATTTCATTATAGAGCTCAAAATAAAGTTATTTACCTGCATATTTTTTGAAATCTATCATTTGTTTATTTTCTGCAAATTGCAAGGTATTGTATTTTCTGCAAATTGCAATTATTATTAATAATGTCATTTATATTTGAATTGCTCAGATCAGCGCTGTTGTCAGGTTGAGCAGTACTTCCTTTAAATTCTGATGTTTGTATTTTCTGATAATTATTGATTGCATAATCGACATCCTTTCCGTAATATTTTGTATGCATCGTCACCGGCATAAGGTTTGGTATGTTTATGTTTGAATGGTTATTGGAATTTACTTTTAATTCTAAGTAATGTTTATTTTGGCAATGTTTCTAAATTCCCAGAATATTAAATTGCAACTTTGCAGTATAAATCAAATTTCTTCGGACCGGAACTCTATCTGATCGATTTAGGTTTCCCATTTTTCCCTTCAGCTTCAAAGCAGGTGTTTTGGTCAGTGTAATTTGTTGGAATTTTCCTGTTTTACCCGTTTGTTGGGGATAATCACTGACTAGAACTATTATAAGTGATACTTTTGCTGTTTGAGTTGTACCTTACCTTTTAAAAGTATCTCTGAGCCGTTTTATACGGGATTTTAATCTGCTCGTGGCTGGTAAGTTTTTTTTGATCGCCATTTTGTCTAGTGTGATTTGTACTATTCAAATTATTTCTTAACAGGGAAAGCCTTTTGTTTTATTTCTTTGTCATCGTCGATTTTCTTGGGAAGAGGAACATAGTTCCAGTAATTTCTGCTTTCTGAATCCAGCAATTTGGACATCCACTTATTCGGAAAAAAAACTACATTTTTTGTGAAGCCCAGCAAGGTAACTTTTTATGACATTTTCTATATTTCTACAGTTGCAACGTGTTTTGTTTTTTAATTAATTATAGCTGTATGTTCCTTTTGTTTCAAACTATCCCTTCTAGGTAACTTTCTTTTTTTATTTCGTAAACCTAATACCGCTCTCGGTTTTAGGGCTTTTTGGACTAGGATTTTTTTACACCAGGATTTTTTAAGACCAGGATTTTTTAAGACCAGGATTGTTCCCACCAGACTTTTAAGACCAGGATTTTTCCACCAGGATTTTTCTGGCTTGCTTTTTCTGGCAGACTTTTTGCAGTACGTCTCTCTGGAAGTGATTTCCCTCTACAGCACTCAGCTTGGCAAATACGTCGCTGGATCAGATCGGAAGAAGAGACAAGTAAACGTTACTGAAAATTTTATCTTTCCCTATTTGTTTTTTTTCCTTGCATTTTTATCTTATATTGATTCAAGGTTCAAGAGTTCAAGGTACATACGGTTCGGTTTTCAATTTTTAATTAAATTTAGTATAATATATAACATCATCAAATTTGGTTCATTTTTTTTATTTAATATCATTATACAATACTCTATTAATTTATCTTAGTGTTTCATTCATCCCTTAATTTTTTATCTTTCTAATATTTTTTTATAACAAGTCTTGTTAGATTCCAAGAATATCTTGGGGGTTTTCTGGCTTATCCTGTGCAAAGCCAGTGGCGCTTAAAACCCACCCCATCTCTTCGGCAGAGCTAGGGCCTATTTGCACGCACACTCCACAGTTTAATAAGACCTTGTTTTTTTTTATTTTTGTTTTTTTCGGTTCTCTGTAACTGTACTACACAATATAATGGAAGTACAGAAGAAAATTACATCTATAATGGAAGATGAAATGTACACAGTGTCGTTCTTTATGATGAATTTTACAGTATTAATCATCATAATGTTGGACGCATTTTCTTGAAGCGCAGTTTGGCGAAAGTTTTAACCACAAAGATTTGGTGCTAATATGGTTGAACAGCATTGGAACCAACGTTTCAGGGTATTTGACACCATATTCTTGAGCCAGCGTATGAGATTAGCTCAAACAGAGCACTTTAACAGTCGCAGCGAAAGAATCAGTTGGACATCACATAGCAATCTCAACAATAATAATGCTCAAAGCTTAACACTTGAGCTTCTTGTTTTAGTACACTGAATACTAAAACAAAGATCTCTACTGAATAAGAAGTTTACATTTTTAATAAAACATAATAAAACTTTCTTAAAAAATAAGTTGATAATTAATTTTTTTTTGTTACAGCTCACTTGATACCTGGAGTACTTCTATTGGCGCAGACTTTCGCCGGATGTCACATAAACTGGGCTGTGATACTTCTAACACTTTCTTTAGCTTCAAACGGTGCAGGCACCATTACTAATTTATCAAATGCACAAGACTTAGCACCCAATTTCGCTGGTACCATTTATGGAATAGCTAATTGTATTGGTAGTACTACAGGATTTATCAGTCCCATGGTAGTTGGTTATCTTACTTCAGAGCATGTAAGTATTGCCTCTTTTATATGTCATTATTCTTTTTTTTTTGGAAGAGAGAAGAATGTGTGTTAATAAACATAATAAAAAATATGTTTCTTATAAAATCGTAAAGAAAAATACAACATCCAATCCAAAGTGCAAATATTTTTAAATCTGGAGGATTCCGATAACAGAAATATATGTTCTCTATGCTGTTTTTCGAAAAAGCGAACTTCAGATATTAAAAAAAACTCTTTTTCTGTCTTCCTCTAAATTTAATCTACTACTACTATGAGTATCAGAGAAGTGTTGCCATACATAAATTTCTTATTTCATAAATTTTTACGTAAATATATTGTTTCGATTGAAATTTTTTAAAAAATTCTCAAAAAAATCATTTTTTTTTCTCGAAAAAAAACCTCATTGGCGTGTTTCTGGTGTGGAAATATAACACACATAAATACATTTGCACTAATTTATGACTCACCGTGTATATCTCGCAGTATTTTATTGTAATTTGCTTTGAAGAACACATTGTAGCAAAATACTTCTAGTTTGGAAGCATGAATAATTTTCGATTAAAAATATTTTGAAATAAATGATGAAAAAGACGTCGCTTTAAAGTGTCATTTTCAATATTCATTTATTAGACCATACAATTAGACCATACAAATACCATACAATAAAAATAATGGAGGTTGACTGTTTTTGGTTTGGTTTGGTTTTACTTCGATAATTAAAAAATTCTAATTTCCCATGAGATTTATTTTTCAGTGTGATGTTACTAAGCAATGACAGTAAATATGTCAAAGCATGCTTGATCATAAAACTTTTAAAAGTATTTCTTATCTATAATAATATATAAAATCCTTAAGTGACTGACATACTGATTAATCACGATCCTGCTTAAACTACTCAATGTAAGAAGCTCAGTTTTGGCATACAGGTTAATTCTAGGGTGTAGAGGTTCGATAAGAAGGGATTTTTCGAAATTCCGGTTTCAAGAGGGTGAAACCACCCCTCAAATATTACAATATTTTTTATTTAAAAAACGGTCAAGTTTCCGAAAAAACGCTTAAACACGTATATTTTATTTTGTTTTTTTACATATTTTAAGATTTTTTAAAAAGGTATACAGGGTGTTTTGAAAAATCTGGTCATTGATTAATCACGATCCTGCTGAAAGCGCTTGACGTAAAAAGCTGATTTTTGGAAAACAGATTGACTTTAGGGTGTAGAGGTTCGATAAGAAGGGATTTTTTGAACCTCGAATTCTTAGGGGGTGAAACCATCCCTCAAATATTAAAATATTTTTTATTTAAAAACCGGTGAGTTTTTCGGAAAAACTCTTGGACAAGCATAATTTATTTGTTTTTTTTACATATTTTGAAATTTGTTAAAAAATCATCCAGGGTGTTCCAAAAAGTTGGGTACCTAATTTCTTAACCACGATTCTGCTTAAACTGCTTGACGTAAAAAGCTTATTTTTGGCAAATGGATTTTTCGACAGTCAAATTCCAACAAAATGAAACTACCCCTCAAATATTACCAAGTTATATAATAATATCGCCATATTGTTTTTTCTCATGCTGACATAAATGTGAGAAAATTTTTATCCAGTTTGTATGTTAATGGAAATTCTTGCTTTGCTTTATCATCACCATTACAAATGATTAATTCGACGCGAACGAAGTCGCTGGTACACGCTAGTTATTTATAAATGTCTCTAATGTTGATTATTCACAAGCCTATAGGAAATAAGGTTTTATTTAGCTGGAAAGGAAAAGGAGGAAAAATTTAGCTGGAGGAAAAGTTAATATGCAAGTAATTCGAAAATTGGTTTAATTGGGTATAGACAACCTTATATAAAGGTACCGTTACTTTTGACGGTGAACAAAATAAAAAAGACAAAAGGTTTTTATTTAAATCAGTTAGCAAACTTTAAGTAGAGTAAAATATTTTCTAAAAAAACCGTATACCTACCTCTACTATACATTTCTTTTACAGAATGGCATGCACGAATGGCACAGAATCTTCTACATTGGAGCACTGGTTTACGTAGCTTGTGGAGTATTCTTCATCATTTTTGGCAAAGGTGAAATTCAGGACTGGAATTATGATGAAGAAGATCGGAAAAAAGATGTAGAAAGTTCACTAAAAGAAGTACAAGGAGTTGAAAACAAAGCGTTCGACAAAGATGGAGAGAGTAAATAAGTTTTAAATTATTTGTATGTTATTTTATAATAAATTTTAATTTTTAATGACCTTGTTTTTTATTAGTCAGCAACAATCTATAAAATTAGTCAGATTTAGGTTTCGAAGACAATGAATTTAACAGATTTTTTTACGACAACTAAGAAATTTTAATGGGATCAGACAAAGCAACTTGAAGAAAGAAACCAAGCATGAAAAGCATCAAATAGAGCACTATTACTAAAAAAATTCTATGGTTTGGAATGAGTTAATGACTGGAGTTAAGAGTCTATTACGCTGTACTGTTCTCAGGGGTCAGGTAAAGCAGGTGTGTGGTTTAAGGAAATATATATTATATTTCAGAAATCTACCTAATGCATAGCCCGAACCTGTCGTGTTGAGCCATATCTATGTAGTGTAGAAATGAGAAGAAATATCTCTTATGGGACTTTATTTGAAAAAGTGGTAACAAAAATGGGAAGAATAAAGAATAAGGGTTCACCAAATGATCACAGAAATTCCGAATAAATCTAAAAAATGAAAAGTAACCATAGATAAGAGAATAAAAGTAACATAACCAAACATTACCCAAAAAAGCTTTTATTTTACTTCTTAGAATATAAAACAATTATTTTTTATGTTAAGGGTCCAGTCTATTGCTGAAAACCGCACCTTCACGTCAAATATTTATCCCTTTTGAATCATTTCCTGTTCTAAAAATTTTCGGCGCCATCTAAAGTCTTCTCTTTTTTATGACCATTTTTGATGCAGGAAGATATTTCTCCTTACCTCTACACTCCATAGCCACATCCATAATTCTAAATACACGTGCTTTGATTAAGGCTTGAAGAACTTAAGATTAAGGCTTGATTAAGGTTTGCAGAACTTCAGCATTTGCTATAAAATAGCGGGCAATTTGTTACAAAACTATATAAATTAGATATCGCTGTATTACAAAACTGCAATCTAGTTCCGTATTGTAACGGAATTTTAGTCCAACATAAGGAATATTTTGTTGATGTTTGACCATCAAAATCTTAAAAATAAAGAAGTTGTCTAAAAATGTGCCACAATACGGATATAGTATAATCCTTTATCTTTAATTTCCTTCTTTATTTGTGTAAAAATACCTAGCCAGTTTTACATAAAACGTTAAAAGCCGAACGCTTATTTTGCTACTTTTTCGAACTAGTGAAATGGACTCTTAACAAACCTCCGTAAATCCGTCCCAGATACTGGCTTACCCAGACTTACAGCATACCCAGACCTTTAAAAAACATATTTACGACTTTACTGTAAAATTAATAGGGGAGCAATATTTGGACAGTTCAAAATTTGCATGGGATTTGCAATATTTCCAACGCCGATGCACCACCCTGTATATGCTCTGCTAGTGTCAGGAAGTGTCTCTATCTAACATGATCTAAGTTTTAACTTTAGATAATATGTTCGCAGGATCAATATTTAAACATTAATGATTTAAAAGTTTCACGAGACGATACAAGGAGAAAAAATTCTAATAACAAAAAGAGGGTTTTAAATTTTCACGGCATTTTCCTTTGTGGAAACCTAAACAAGCCTTCCTCATTATATCCGTTTCAAAGACTTTTGGAGGTTTCTCCTCAATTGGGAAATTTGATAAATAAACCAGTAGAAGAGGTCGATAGAATAAGAAAAAAAAAGAAAAGATTGATGGTAACAAGGTAAAAATCCGTAAGATCAAAATAACCTTAAAAAGAGTTTATTCTCTTAATTTGCCTGTTATTTTCCTTCCACAGATTTTTGTTTATTTTTCCGCCACAGAATAAACATACCTGTAGGTATTAAAAAGCCTTGTGCTGACTGTATTATACAGGGCGAGGCTTAAATAAGTACAAATATTTTAAGGGCGGATAAATCTCGATAAAAGAAACATATTTTCCTTTACCGTTTTTAGTCCAACATAACCGAGTTATTTTATTTTGAAATTAAAAAAAAAGTATTTTTTGCTTAAATTTTGAGAACCACTGGATATTTTCTGGGTTTTATTTCTTGTAAATTTAATCTACTACCTACTACCTATGTTCCCATATTATCGAGAATTTATGTTATTTTACTTAAAACTAAAAAAAAATATTTTTTCAAAATGTTTCAAATTTTTGTTTCTGGGGCCGAAATATACTACCCCTAAAATATTTGCATTTATTTAGGACTCACCCTGTATAAGTAAATAACTGCGAAAACTGTTGTAAACATATCAACAACGTACTATTGTCTAATTTCTTTGTTGTTTGTACGGTACTGGTACTGGTCTTGATCATGAACAACCGTCCACGCGCCAAATTTGAATATGAATTTTAAAAATTGTATACATATTAACTTCTAACTGAACACACTTGCATTCTATATGAGGACTATTATTGGGTCTACAAACTATTCTTCATCAGGTCTATCAGAAATTTTGGCAAGTGTTCTAGTATGAACACTTTTACCGAAGTCTTTATTTAGTTAGCAAACAATCTTTCATGGCAATATTTATAACTACTTTAGCAGTACCGCTAAGGTTTAGTTAAACTTTAACTAGTATCATAAATAGTTATTTATGGTACTAGTGTATTATCTTACATGTAAGGCACGCTGGAAAATGTTTAGCTAATTTTCTCATGTGACTTATGTTATAACACGCGAGTGCCATAAAAAATTTTGTCCAACAGCAGAACTGTTTCATGTCCAATCTCTAAAGAATAATTGATTTAAAAGGATCTACCAGTTCTACTTTCATTGTTGCGAATTAATAAATTATCAGGGTGCGTTTATATATTACTTTGAATAAGAAGACTAAGGAAGGAGCATAATGCTATCCATGTATTCATGCATGGTGGGCGGAAAAAGGACTCTAGGGTGGGGATCCTTGACAGTTCTGTTTGACGATTCATTTGACACCTTTGAATTTCATTTGAAATTTTGTGTATTTGTCAGTCTTTACGAAGCTTATTTTATGTTATTTATTACTTATTCTACTACTGATAGTTGTATAAAGGTAGTAAATCTAGATGGAAATTGTGGCAGAACTTAAATTAACAGTGACACTATCGCGATCTTTCGAAAAATCTCTGCAAAAATCGAGTGAAATAATGGAATAACTTTTCGCTAGAACCTAAGTGACTATATAATATACATACGTGTAGTAAACCGATCATTTATGAAATTCACTTAAATTAACTAATTATATATTTTTTCTTGCATTTTTGCTTTTATTTATTACTTGTCAAAAATTAGATGTCAACGAATTTAGATATGTCAATTTGACTTACCTTCTTCAGTAGCGTATCGGATGTTTGTGTTAATAAATAGTTATTAAAACTTATCTATTTTTATTATAATAATATGTTTTAATAACAATTTTAATAACTACCAACATTATTCAAAACGTAAAATAAAAAAAAAATTATTGAGTCTACCCCACGTCTACCCTACATCATAGTTTTACATTTTATAAATAAAATTAGAACGGCACTGATAAACCGGAATTTAAGTCGGCCATATTTGAGTCCCTTCGCGTTGGATCTAAGATTTTTGATATGCTCCTTCCTGAGTCTTCTTATTCAAAGATATATTACTATGCAATAGAATTGCGTTGTTTTTTTTTGTAAATAATATATAGCACTGACTTAAGACGTCATTTAAATAAATCGCGATTTTTTAACGATGAAATAGTGAATTATCAACATGCCCTAGACACTCAATGGTAATTTTATAGAACTACAAATTTAGTTTCTTCCGCATCGCCAGACGGCGCGAAAGACATTAAAGTACAGGTTTCTAATTTATATAAGAAGATGACATGACAGTCTCTATGGTAACTACTGTCTAGTTGACAAAATGTTGGTGAACCGTCAAGTTATTTTTAAATCATTATTTAAATAATTATTAATTCAGATATTTCTGATTTGTCGGAAAGTTCGGTGATTTCAGTGATTTGTGTTTATAGTTTGTGTTTTTATTAGTTTATGCATTCTGATATTTACAGTCGATCATTATTTTCGTGTTAGATATTAAACTTTTTTATTAAAGTCATTTTGACATTTTAGAAATAATAAATTTATGAACCAAATAAAAAAATATTTTAATCATAAATAAGTAAGTACATAGTTGGTAATATATAGCATTTTTAGGGTCTTGTGCAGAACAGGTCCCCACGAAATCGTGGTTTTTTTAATTTTTAATGTGGATCCCATAGTTAATGGAATGGTTTAAAAGAAAAAAATTGTTGGATGAACCACTTTTTCTACAAAAAAAAATAATTGAAAATTCCAAATTTTCACTACATTTCAATGCGAAAACTCCCTATTATAACCTTCATAAAGACAGTAAAATACAAGGTTATGCACAGTGTTGCCATACTCACCCTGTGTAAAATCGACGAAAACGTTCTACTTTATATTCATTTTTTTTACATTTAGTACGCACTTTAAGAACACGAAAAATTAAAAATATAATAAACGAGGCAAAACAAAAACACTATAAAAATAAATTGACAATAAAATCATTACACAGTATTTAGCACAATTGTTTTAAAATATATTTTTCCCGGATTTGTTCAGTAAGATTCCGAAATCGATGTGATCTGCGTACTTCCAAACACTCCCCACCAACCTAACTTAACCAATGCATTAACACCCCCAAATAACCAGGCTAACCAATGCATTAACACCCTCCAAATAACCAGACTAACCAATGCATTACCACCCTCCAAATAACCAGAATATCTAACCTAACCAACCAATGCATTAACACCCCCAAATAACCAGGCTAACCAATGCATTAACACCCTCCAAATCACCAGGCTAACCAATGCATTAACACCCTCCAAATAATCAGGCTAACCAATGCATTACCACCCTCCAAATAACCAGCCTATCTAACCTAACCTAACCAATGCATTAACACCCCCAAATAACCAGGCTAACCAATGCATTAACACCCTCCAAATAACCATGCTAACCAATGCATTACCACCCTCCAAATAACCAGGCTAACCAATGCATTAACACCCCCAAATAACCAGGCTAACCAATGCATTAACACCCTCCAAATAACCAGGCTAACCAATGCATTACCACCCTCCAAATAACCAGGCTAACCATTGCATTAACACCCTCCAAATAACCAGGCTAACCAATGCATTACCACCTTCCAAATAACCAGGCTAACCTAATTGAGCCTAATGACAAAACTTCATTGATTACGCGTCGAAAAACAGTATATATTAAAAAAACTTATATTTTCGTAGAACCTGAAAAATCCGCAAATTTTATTTCAGAAATTGCTTTAAAATAATCCACACTAACGAATAAGCTACTAGACAGTTCAATTTTTGTTGCACTAAAGTGATAACTTACCGTTTTAAGTCCCTCCACAACAACTTTATTTCAGAAGAAAATCATATAAAGTAATTTTATTGACAACGTCGCAAATTCTATGCGAAGGCCATAGATGACATACCGATGATCGATTAACTGTCAATCGAAAAAGTCATAAAATTGCTAGCTTGAGCTGATGTAAATAAATATATTTTCTTAATTTTTATGCTTACAAAGAAGATTCGTTACATTTTTGTGCTTAAATTAGATCATTCCACGTCTATATAAGGTAATAAAGTACTAATATGTGATGTTTTTACTGAATCCGTGTAGAAAATTTAACATATTTACTGTCCGTCGCCTGTACCTAAAATACGTTTTTTTGCCGTTTTTTAAAGATAAAACACATTCATCCAACAATTTTTATGCTTAAAAATATTCAGTTTAAGATAATCTTCCAAAAAAATCCCAAAAAAGTGTTAAATGCGTGGGGACCTATTGTGCACCAGAGCCGCATTTTTAGTAACAGTTAATTAGTAGCCTATAATATTTTTACTATATCATAATTTATTTGTTAAACCAAAAAAAAATAGGCGCCATGTGCTCTATTGTTGGTGTTTAAAATGGATGTATTTATAACTTTAATTTTGTTTTAATTATGTTACAGTTCTAATGATCTAATAAAATATAAAATGCAGTAAAAAAGTCTATATTTATTATTATATATTTTACAAGGAATAATTTTGCGCTTGAATAAATAACGGAACGCTAAAATTGTTATACCAAAACTCTCCATTAGTTTCTTCCGGATCACCAGGTGGCTCTAAATGACGGATCCATTTGTTTTATATCAGTGTCCAATCTATCTCTAGTACATAACAGTAGTCTATGATTATCAACCAGCAAGTCAGATTTTAAATTCAGGAAGATCTTCCGCAAGTACTTGGGCATACAACATCCTGAGCAATACACTGGTCATTGTATGAGAACATCATCCACTACATTACTGGCAAATGCAGGAGTGAACATGACAACGTTAAAAAGACACAGAGGATGGCGATCTGCAACGGTTGCAGAAGGATATATCGAAGAATCCATCAACAATAAAATAGAGATTGCAAAAAAGATTCAAAGTGCTGTAAGTGTTCCAGAACGAGCCGTTGTAATGACTGAGCCTATTTCAAGCAGTCAGTGGAGGGGCACCATCTGGAGCCATACAAAGTTTTACAATTTCTGAATCTACAAAAAAAATCATTTTCAATTAATGTTTATGTTAATTTAAATAAATAATTGAATTAGTAATTTATGAATAAAGCTTGATAATTTCTATAAAATGGTGTGGCTTTGAAATTATAACACACTAGTTTGTTATAACTTCAAAAACTCACGCGTGTGTTATTATTTATTTTATATGCATGTATACATGTGAATAATGTCTGTATAAGTAGTGGCTGTTGGATAAAAGAATATTATTAAAGAAGACTGTCACTGTGGCTTGTTAACAAACTCGATTACAAATTAGAATTTGCTAAACTACAAAAATAATAAAAGTACATAGTTAAACTTGTCAAGATGTACTTCATAGTTGTAATAATAAATAAGCTGTATTTAATGAGGTGCATATAATGCGCTTATTTTATAGCTTACATGCATCTTGAGAATTAATTAGCTGTAAGAACTTCGCGCGAAATTCGCAGGTGTATTTTAGTTTCCAAGTAAGTTAGTTAACTTTTTAAACTTTGGTTACATATCTCATATCTCTTATAACATCTTAAAACAACAGATATTTACTTCTTTTTTCGTTTTTATTAAAATTATAGATATATATAATAAAAAAAACAGCAGGTTTAGTGGTGATTCAAAATTTAAATGAGGATGCAGTCAATAATTACCACGTAGGCTGATAAAACTACTTTTTCAATTTCTCAAGCTTGAGGACAGTTTCTTAAATGTATAAACAAAAGGCATTAACATTTTGCAAATGTATAACAACGTAAGTTTGTTTTTCTGTTATACAATTGCAAAATGTTAATGCCTTTTGTGTATACATTTTAGAAACTGCCCTGATGATGGAAATAAAATTTTCGAAAGCTTTAGAAATGAAAATGAAAAAGCAGTTTTATTAGCCTTTTAATAAAAAATGATATTTATGCATTAAGTTAACTGCGAACAAAGGCAAAGTTTCTGTCCCGATGGCATATGGCCCGAGGGACAATAATTAACCGAGGCTGTTAACACTTTATAATTCACGTGGTACATAGATAATTTTATTTCCTACTGAATTTAGTATATTTTGGCCCATTTTAAAACGACACAAATGTTGCATTTATTAATTTTCCGGTATTAGCATTGCTGGTATGGTAAGAACTTTATTGTTGCCAGCTTACTATTGTATTAATTGTCATGTTTGTAAATTGACGGTTGTTAACAATCGAGTTCAGATTTATGTCAAAAAACGTCTTTTGCAACTAATACCTCATCTTGATATCTTTTTCAAACCGAAGTTATAAACAAAATTATAAAAAATACGAAAAAATAAGCCCTTAATTACCTTATTTTTCCAACATGGTATCACTAGCCCTCTTGATTATGACCATTCTAATAAAAAGTGACATAGAAACAATTAGTTTATTCTAAAATCGACAATATACCAGAATACCATAATACCAGATATATTAATATCTAATAATTCAGATATAAATGACAGTGAAGAAGAAACGATGTCTCAGTGGAGTCATGGTAGGCTTGGGGAATAGTTGCTTTCGACGTAATAGTATAAACGTCAAAGTGTTATTAGATCAACATTTTACATTTTTAGAAAAACAATCAAAAGATAAAAAACGCTGCTGAGACTATCAAAATGTTGATATAATAACATTTTGACGTTTAAACTATCCCTTCAAAGCCAACTTTTTTCCAAAGCCTACCATGAATTCACTTAGGCGTCGTTTCCTGTTCACTGTCATTGATATCTTAATTATCAGATATCAATACACCTAGTATTATGGTATTCTGGTGCATTGTCGATTTTTTAATAAACTAATCTTTTCTATCTTATTTTTTCTTAGAATGGCCATATTTAAGAGGTCTAGTGATACCGTGTTTTGGTTGGATTTTGAAAAATAAGGTAATTAAGGAGGAAAACTATTATAATTAATAATTATTATTTCTTCGTATTTTTTATAACTTTGATGTGAAAAACATATCAAGATGCGGTTTTTGCCGACTTTTTAAGCTTTTATTACTTTTTATTATCAGCTAAAATTACATATACTATTGCATTTAATTTTTTTGAAAAAACGGGTAATGTTTGTCAAATTGTAAGACAGTGCCCCCTAGCGTCTATGTTCAAAAGCTTATTATTGTTGTTTATATGATATATTATAAAGTAAGGAACGCTCTTTTAAACGAGCTCTCGTTTGTCGAATTCGGTTCATCCAGTCCGGAGTTATTAATATATTTATATAAAAACAGATCTAACCCTCCCCCACCACTTTATTTTGACAGATAGGGGAAATAGTTCTAACAAAAAAAATCAAAATTTACTGAAGAATATGAAGCTATTATTTATAGTACCCATTATCTAAGCAAAATTGTGTAAAACTACATTTTCTGATTTTTCATAGCAGTTGCGCCCTCTAGCGGCCGTGCTACAAGCTTAAAAATAATTTCCAGCAATTTTTCATAGCCTCTTTAGTTGTAAATATTTTTTTTCCGCAGGCCCTACGGCTAATACTTTCCGAGATACAGCCGAGAGCTATTCTTAGTGGGGCAACCTGTACATTAAAATTTTCTATCTGTAATTTTTAAAATATATTGAAAATTTTATTAAAATATATTTATATATAATTTATTTAATTAATACGGTTTGATGCCTAGCTGAACACCATCATAACTAACTAGAAATCCCAATGTTATTGCGTGATGGGGTATTTAACAAGTATCACAAACAGAATTGTTGTTATTATATTTTTAAATATTGAACCGCGAACACAGATTACCGGTAAAATGTATATCTTCTTCGCATTACTTTTGTTTATTATTAATGCAGCCAATTGTCAGAAGTGTGTTAACCCTGGACCTAACGATCCTTTACCTCCTGGTGGTAAGATTTAATTTAATTTTTGTATAGGCTTATCGAATTTTGTGTGATTTTTACCGCTTTAAAAACCAGGAAACAATGATATAAACATAGTTGAGTTTATCTTTGCTTTCCATATGTTAATTACTAATTTTCATTTTGATGTGATTGTTATAGATAAACAGAAAATGTTTATTTATATTTGACATTTCTATACAGAGTGTTCCTAACGGAACTTACTTCTAACTTTTATTTACACAGCCAAAGGTTCCTCTAAAGAAAGTCTTAAAATTAATGATTCATTTTCAATAACTGCAGTAGTTCCAATTATACAGGGTGTTACAAATTCTCAATGTGTTCAAAGTTTATTTAAATATTTATCAGAGTAAATGATAAGGATAAAATCCTTCCACCAATTTGAGGTTTTTTCTTATTATTTCTAGATGTTTACGCATTTTTTCACCCGCCACAAGGTTGAACGATCAGGTGCGGTAGTTGCTAGATAGCTGTTCTGTGACTTGTGCGTTGAAGTTCTTCTCAATATCGTTAAACTGACCCACAATAGAATTTTCAAAAATACCAGCCCACACGTTCAATTTCTGAGGGTTTTGTGTGTGCACCTCGTGAATCGTCTTCTTTGAGTTCTTGTACCAACTGAATTTTGTACGGGTGTAACTTGTGTTTTTTTAATATTCTTTGGACACTTGTACGATTCACGCCGATCCCATTGGCTAATTTTCTTGTACTCAGCGTACTATCCATGGCAACTTGGACCAATACGAATATCTCCATAGCTTCATTTACTACAGGATTTTCCTTCTGCCTCTTTTTATTCATAACGGTTATGCCTTGCGGAACATTTTCGATGGGCCACCCTGTATAATATAAACAATCAAATCATTTCCCTGGATTGGAAGATATATTTCTTATGCGAGAGGGGTATGAAAATTTTGTTTGCGGCATCTTCCATTTGACAAAATAGTGGGACAGGTTTGTGCAAATCGCACCCTTCTATCTTCACTAATAACGGAGATACCGTAAATTAATAGTTTGCTATTTTTTTATTGCTGTTGATATGGATTATTGAATCTTTACTGGTTTTTACTGGCTGATAAAATTACACTCTGAATATAGTTACGTGTTTTGTCAATAGCTACCTACAAATTTCGTAGTTTGTGTATTTTAACATAATATAAAGATATCTATATGAATGACGGTTTATTGTAAAGCTTCATTCAGAACCTCGCAGTTAGTGAAATAAATTAGTGGTTTCAATTAGCGTAGAAGTTGGTTCCTTTAATTTCAATGTAAGCATTCAGAACATCAAAATTAGTGGTAGACATTTTCAATTAGTAGAAAAAGTTAACAAACTTTTAACTTTTCCACTAATTAAGCTTGGTTTTTGATGCATCCGTTATCCGATGATACGATAGTAATTTTATTGGTTGCATTTAAAGGCTTCAATTGGTTAACCTTTTCTAACCAATCGAAGTCTTTAAATTCAACCAATAAAATTAATATCGTATCATCGTATCGTCGGACAACGGATGCATAAAAATCAAGCTTTATACTTCAAAACTTGCGAGAAATATAATTTTGACCTCCTTCCGTCAATAGAAATTGTGGTTAGAAATCAATAATTATTAGGCTTAATTAATAGTAAATAAATTAGGCTTTAATTATTAGGCTTTCTCTATGGATACAACTGACTAACTCAAGCTGTTGCTAGGATATTCTATTAATTTTAATTGTGTTCTTTAAACATTGTGAATGATCGTAAACTAATAGTTATTTTTTATACTAGACGCGATAAAATGGTATTTTATCGTCGACAGAGAAGATTAATTAATTTCGGAAGACGATAATGCAATTTTATCGTCGTGTATAAAACAATATTTTTTTTATCGAGTTCCGTTTTAAAACATTTTCAGAAATTATTATTTCAAGGAATTTATTAAGAGTAGAAAAAATATTGTGCTGGGTTGACGTTGGTTTCCATCATGTAATTTGACAAATAAATCAAGCTGTCTCTTTAGTTGTCAGTTTTGAGTCAATATTTTTTAATTCTCTTTGGTGTCGATTGCTGATTGAATTGGAGCCAGAAATGGCTCAAAACGAAATAAGTAAATTGCCAACAGATATTCAGGTTGAGGCGACAAACGCCATATCCAAACTACTTCCATTTAAATCCCGAATAACTTATGAAAAGAAATACAAAATTTTTCAAAAATGGAAGCAATTAAAAAACGTGCGAGAAGAAATAAAGTTTTTAACCGATCCTCGCTGTTAAAGCATCATTTAATCTACCCTTGCGGTTAAAATACTATTTTATCTACTATTTTTGATGGATATAAGGCAATTTTAACAGTTGCTTTGAAAAAAAAGTATATAGTGTATTTGAAACCAGTAATTTATTCCACTAATTCCCAGGTTCTGAATGAAGCTTAAAATATATATTATGGTATGTCGGTGTTTAGTAAGTTTCGTGGTTCTGACAATTATTCCAATCGCCAGCCAAATTTAATGTAATCGATATTTCTTATGTTGTATCATCAAATATTATGAAGCTATTGATAAGATAATATTAAATTATAACCTCATAATGTATTTTAATACATCTTAGGTATAACTTGGCAAAACTGTACCAAACCACACGAATTCTACACCTGCGGTTCGGCCTGTCAAAACGAATGCAACACTTTAGGCGATCCATGCACCATAATCAACATCAGATGTAACGATCTCTGCTATTGCTGTCCAGGATATGCCAGAGACTGCCTGGGCAACTGTATTCCAGAAAAAGCGTGTCCACCCAAGGGTTCCTGTCCCAAAAAGCCATGTATTGTTTACTGATTTAAATTTTTTATTCAATATACGATGTTCGTTTGTAGCGTTAAGTATTTAATATAAACATTGCTTTAATAATTTTACTTTATCAGTACCCTATTCCTCATATATATATATATATATATATATATATATATATATATATATATATATATATATATATATATATATATATATATATATATATATATATAATATATATATATATATATATATATATATATATATATATATATATATATATATATATATATATATATATATATATATATATATATATATATACATTTTTAGTTATATGTCGATAAATCAACTTTGACACTATGAAGGTGATGTTTATTATTAAAAAAAACATTGAAATTTGAAAACAAATACTGCAAAAGGTAATTGCAGATAAATGACGTACATGATGGGCCAAATTGGACAATTTTAAAGGAAACCCCTTTTTATAGGAGATAGGCAAACACTAATATTGGTGTCTGGAGCTCAATTTTTATAAAAAAAAGTATGATGGTAGAATGTAGAATGTTGAAGAGGGGAGTTAGTCACCGCGACCTTAAAGATCTATTGTGTGTTCCCCTTTCTTGAGCTATAACCAGTTATAACTCATCATACAGTCTCAAGGCTTTAACAAAAGCCAGTATCTGAAACGGCTCCATAGAGGCCAGCTTTCCATCCTTGACATCAGCCGTACCAAAGTTCATGGCACGAATGGTCGTCGTCTCGGCGCACTCAGTGATGAGGTGTTCTGGTGTTTCCCCATATTCCCCACAGAATCTGCATTCGCCGTTGTTTCTCAGCTTCAGCCTACTGAGGTGTTCGTTGAGGAGACAGTGTCCTGTTAGGAACGGCTTGGTATGTCATCCACTGGGAGTTGGAGAAGTGGAATTTTCTTTTTGAGGGTGTTCCAAGCCCCTGACCTAAAAACTCTCCCAGTACTGTTTCCGTCTATGACCATTCTAATCATTGTCGCATTGGCATAACTACCGACGACAATGTGCAGTGGTGTTAGGTCTAAAATGACCTCCATTGCTGCTGTTGGACATGTTCTCATGGCACCTGTTATACAGATACATGCCAGTCTCTGTACTTTGCACAGGTTTTGCCTTGCTGTACGTTGCTCTAGTTTTGTATACCAAGCAACTGCTCCATATGTAATCATGGGTCTTACTATCATGGTATACATCCAGCCCAATTTTGGGGCGCAGCCCCACCTATTTCCCGCCAGTCTTCTGCATATCATGAGAGCCTTTGTGGCTTTGCTGGTAATGTTCTTAATATGCCTGTTCCAGAGAAGTTTACTATCCAGTGTTATTCCTAGATATTTCACTTCCTGTGATGGCAGTATTTCCTTTCCATCTAGATGGATTCTTTTCAAGTTTTTCAAACTTCGCTTTCTGGTGAATGGCACTACCGCGGTTTTATCTGAGTTGATACTCAGCCCGATGGTCCTGCACCATCTCTCAGTGATGCGAAGTCCTCTTTGGATAATATCACACAGGGTGCCTTCATGTTTCACCCGTGCAATCATGACTATGTCATCTGCATACCCTATGCAGTGTATTCCCGCTAGAGTTAATTCTTCCAGCAGTTCATCCACTACCAAGCTCCACAGTAGGGGGGAGGTCACTCCACCTTGTGGAGTTCCTTGCGTTGTTTTAACAACCACAGTTTTGGTACCTATCTCAGCTTCTGCTGTTCGTGTTGAGAGCATTTCTCAAAACCAGCGGATTATCGTATTGTTCACCCCTCTTGTTTCAATCACTTGACCACCTTGTGAGATATATTGTCAAACGCCCCTACAATGTCCAAGAAGGCACAAAGTGCTGTTTCTTTGCTATCCAGGCTCGCCTGTATTAGCTCAGTTAACTTGTACAGAGCAGTTTCTGTGGATCTGCCCGCTCTATATGCATGCTGACTATAGTGCAGTGGTTTAACCTTTAGATGATTTACTCTAATATGGTTGTCCACTACTTTCTCCATCGTTTTTAATATGAACGATGTGAGACTAATAGGCCTAAATGATTTGGGGTTAGCCCAGTCAGTTTTGCCTATTTTGGGTATGAAGATTACTTTCGCTCTTCTCCAGATGGTTGGTATATATCCCATCGCTAAGCTGCTTCTTGTAATGTTTAATAGATGGTGTGTAGCTATTTGCTCACCCTTCTTTAGAAGGGCAGAAATCCCATCTATTCCTGCTGTTTTATAAGGCTGAAAGGTGTCAGTAGCCCATTTCAGTTTTTGTTCTGTTATTACTAGCTTGGCCATGGTAAAAACCGCACATCAATATCTGTTACCGTTTTGGAGTTAAGAGGTGTTGAGTTTTTTTAACATTTTCGCATATTGTTTATTCGAAGTTGTAACATGCGGTTCATAAGGACAATTTGGTCCGAAATACCAAGTGTTTGGTACCAAATTATTTGTAAAAAAATGTTTTTTTTTCCGAATATGCTAATGAGCCACCCTTGTTCCATTTGAAAAAAATGAGGTATGATTAAAAATTCGACTTGGAGATCTTTTAACCGGCCAGGACAAGACACGACGAACATTAGACAATCAAATCTATTTTTAATCAAGGCCCCTTGATTAAAAATTAGTATTTTTAACACACCCATGGCTCTCTAGATTGAAATTTAAAATGCGATTTTTTTAAGCGAAAATGTCAAAAGTTGACATATGATATATCGTTCTATTCAAAGTGTCATTTTCTATCTAATAAAGCAAAAATATACCGAGGGAGCCATTTAAAAATTACAAGTTGTAGTCATTCCCGGTGAAACAGGAAGTGACCAAAAACAAATAAAATATGTCAATCAATCTTAATTTATGTCTATCTCCTTTAAAAAGGGTCCAATTTGTTTTACCCTATTTTTTATTTTAACAAAAATTAGAAATTTTTTAGCATGTGTTGGTTGTTTACTTAAAATTTATATTTTCATACTTATTTGCACGTATTATTTAGGATTTGCGATATATTTAAAAATAAAGATATTTATTAATTAGTATATTTACACCTGTTATGGCTAAAAATACATTTTAAGTGTAATTAGGACGATATGGCTGTCTGATAAATTTGAAATGTAAATTGGTGTTATAAATATGCTTTGTTTCTATTATAGGAATTAATATAATATATTCAGTGTCATTCATGCAAGTACCTAGGTTATCAATGATTATATTATCATTTATTTATTAGGGGAAAACTATTTTTAAATATTTTACTTAAATTACTAATATTTATATTTTAACTATGGACAGGGTGGCGCCTCTCATACGGCGCGGGGCCTCCAAGGAGAACGACAGTTTTTAATGAAAAGAATTTTTAGAGGATTTTCTAATAATATAGAGAATAGTACAGGGTGTCCCCAAAAAAGTTACACATTAAAGTTGTTTTTTTTGTAATGGCACACCCTATATATTAAGTGATTTTCGGATTCTAAAAGAAAAATAAAGGAGAATTTCATTAGAGAAGTATATGACTAAAATGTAAGGTTTTTGATATATTTAATATTTTCTAAAAATGAAGAACAATTTTTAAATTTCAGTAAAAGCTACCTAAATTCGAATTTACTCGGTATAGCCCAATATGTAATTAAAATAACGATTGTACTTTAAATTAAATTAAAACTTGACCCAAAAAGTGATACAGGCTGAGACAATATTAATATTGAACATTGATCACCTTTAAAAGCAAATTACTTTTTTATTTTAAATAAAACACCCGGTATATTATTTCGATATTCAAAATTTTTTTACCTAGATTTATAAATCTAGGTAATTTGCTTATAAACAGATAATAAAGATCTACTGAGGCAAAATCATAAAAATGAAAATATCTAGGAAAATCTTTGTCTGAGGGGTAGGTAACCTTAATAGTATTTTAAAGATATTAAAGGTATATGAATTCTCCATTGAATACCGGTATAACATACCGGGTGTTCCATTTAAAATAAGAGAGTAACTTGCTTTTAAAAGTGGCCAATGATCAATATTAATTGTGCCTCACCCTGTATAACTTTTCGGAACAAATTTTAATTTGGTTTAACACACAATGGTTATTGTAATTAAATATCAGGCTATACAGAGTAAATTATAATTTAGGTAGTTGTTACTGAAATTTAAAACTTACTCCAATCAAAATCCTTGCAATTTAGACATATGCTTCTTTAATGAAATCCACCTTTATTTTTTTCCTAGAATCCGGAAATCAATTAATATATAGGGCTATTACAAAAAACTTTAATGTGAAACTTTTTTGGGGACACCCTGTAGAATTCTATATTTTTAAAAAATGCCGTAAATTAACCTACATACTCTCACAAAATTTAATTTTAATACAAACTGTCGTTCTCTTTGGAGCCTCCACTTGTATGAGAGAATGAGAGTATACGTATACATACAAGGTGGCCCATCGAAAACGTTCCATAAGGCTTAACGGCCAGGGTAATTTTTTTTCAGAAAATTCAAAAACATGTCAATTTTGTTTGTGAGGGGGACAACTTTTGCCCCAAAAATTATTGCAAAATCTTCAACCCTCTAAGCGGGGGTGTCATTCCCCATTTTTTTCAAATGGGAAGGGGGGTCAAGAGGTACCGCATTGAAAAGGGCTTTCTATTCTCTATACTTTCCCGCTTCGTTTTTGAAAATCGGTCGAGCCATTGAGAAAATATGAAGGATTGAAATTTGAAAAGTTTATTTAAACATTTATCAGAGTAAATGATAAGGATAAATTCCTACGACCAATTTGCTGTTTTTTCTCATTATTTCTAGATGTTTACGCATTTTTTTACTTGCCACAAGGATGAACGATCGGGTTAGGTAGAGTGTACTTTCTTTTTGAAAGGTGTATTTAATCGGCACAACTGTCGGTACTGGGCTGAGGACAACCCCAGGGTTTGGTTTGAACAATCCTGGATACGTTGAAGCGGAACTAATATTTCAACAAGACGGTGCACCTCCACGTTACTCTCAAAATGTACGTAATTATTTAAACAATAACTTTCCCGTTCGGTGGATAGGACGAAGGGGTGCAATTGAGGGGTGCACCCGACTTGACTGCTTTAAACTTTTTTCTATGG